AGTGGCTGGCAAATGCGGAAAGGACCAGTATGATCTTTCAGGAAAGGATACACCAAGGCAGGTTTGGGGAAATCTACTGTGGGGAGATCCTGGAAGATTGTACTGAAAGCGGGTTCCAAAAAAGCATCAGTGGGAAGCTGCGGGTCTACAGCCGAGCCAGGGAAAACCCAGAAAGCTGGAGGAAGCATAACCACCTCATGTGGCAGCAAAAAAAAAAATTTAAAACCACAAATACTGTGGTATGGTGGGTGAGAATGCACTGCTGAAAAACATTGTCAAATCTGCGAAATGGGTTACTCTCTAACGAAGCCCTAACCATCGTAATATGGCTTTACAGAGAGTGATGGGGGCCCCCATAGTCACTCTGGTAGGCCATTCCGAAGGATGCCACAGAAAAAAGCCTGTGCCCTAACTCTTGCCGGACAGACACTCCTCAGAGGGAGACCCACCTGCAGAAAGCAGCCTGAAGAGATTAGCTGGTGTGTGGTGGAAGGACAGCCTAGCCCAGGGGTCTGTTTAACTGATACGTACGGTTGCCAACCTCCCTTCATGACCTGGAGATCTCCCAGAATTCCAGCTGAACTCCAGACAACAGAGATCAGTTCCCCTGGAGAAAATGATTGCTTTGGAAGAATGGCCTCGATGGCCTTCTGGCCTGCTGAGGTCCTCCCCCTCCCCCAAACCCCTCCTCAGGCTCCATCCTCCAGATCTCCAGAATTTCCCAGCCTGGAGTTTGCAACCCCACCAATACGTGAAAGGTTAGTTGGGTGACCTAAAATGGGGAGGGGGCACCCTGACCTGGACAACCCAGGCAAGCCCCGTCTCGTCAGACCTCGGAAGCTAAGCAGGGTCGACTCTGGCAAGTACTTGGATGGGAGACCTCCTTGGAATACCAGCAGTCAGGAGGCAGGGGCAGGCTTTACTCAGCCACCTCTTTGAATATCTTCCAGGCCCCATTTTAGCTTAGTGTGGGTTATCTTTTCTTTCTCCCTAAGTGTAGTCCCCCCATCTCTATTTTTTCTTGGTCGTTTATGTAGTATTTTTTTTAAAAAAAAAATCCCCTCCGGGGGCTTAAAAAAGAAGAAGAATATTCTCCAGGCCCCCGGTATGGGTCAGTCACCAGAGGTCGCCATGACTTCCAGGGGCACACACACTCACACGCACGCACACATACATGCACATATGAGAAATACAGAAAAATACCCCCCAAAATGGGGAAGGGGCAAATTGGTTCTTGAGGTCAGCAAGGATGGCAGTAAGGACTTTCAGCATTCCTCCCCTTCTACCCCGCACACTTTTGCGAGAGTAAAAAATGGCCATGCAGGGGGTCCCACTACAGGTTTCCGTGGGTTGGGGTTTCCCCCATCCCAATTCACATTTCATGTATCAGTTAATCACACCCCAGTTCACAGCACTGTTACAAGGAAGAGAGGAGGAGACATCTATCCCCCCCCCAGTTTCTCAAAGCAAGTGATAAAACTTGTAGCCAATAAATACATTGATAAGCTGGCAAGGACTGGCAAAGGAGATGCCAAGAAGGTTGTATCTTTTATTAGGACATTCTGAGCAAAAATACTCAGCGGGGACTGGGCTTTTGCTGGGCAGTGTAAAAAACTCAATGTTTTTGCAGAATTCTGTGCATGCTGGTGCCCCACACGTGTCTGCCTGCTACTTCTGGTGATGGTGGTGGTTCACTGTTATCATGAACAAGTGGTTACCCTGACCCATGTAATGGATGCCATGGCTTCTCCAGGAAGGCAGCTTTCTCCATATGGCAAGGGCTTCTAGACAGCACCCAGACAACACTAGTGTGCTTTCACATACGGAATAATGGACTTTGAGTCCACTTCTATTGCACTTTGCAACGGGACTTCACTGTGTGAAATGGCAGATTCCATTAGCAGATGATCACTAAAGTGCACTGAAAGCGGATCGAAAGTGCATTATTCAGCCTGTGTGAAAGCACTCTAAGGCAGCCCTCGTGTGGCCACAACGCAATTCATACAAAGCCATCCTAACCCTGGTGTAGGGCTGCCCGCCAGGTCCTACCTGTGATCCAGTGGGGGGCTCCTGGGACTGGCCTGCGATTTTCTGCTGTGAGCACTTTGCGTGCACGGCATGATGACATCACCCAGAAGTGGCATCATCACATTGCCAACATTGGGGGTGACGCTCTAGTTTTTGGGCAAAACTCTTATCGGTTTTTTAGCTTCAAAACCACAGAGTTTGCCCGAAAACTAGAGCATCACCCCTGACAGTGATGATGCAATGATGTCACTTCCGGGTGACATCATCGTGTCGAGGACATTGCCCAGTGACATCCCTGTTTCAGAGTGATGCTTCCCCCGCTGGCTGGCTGGTTGGCAGCGGATCTAAGCCCCGAAAATTGAGGAAACCCCCACCCAGACTGGGGGTCCGGCAACCCTAAAGGTAAAGGTAAAGGTTCCCTTGCTCGAAAGCCAGTCGAGTCCGACTCTAGGGTTGCGGTGCTCATCTCCGTTTCCAAGCCGGAGAGCCAGCACTGTCCGAAGACGTTTCCGTGGTCATGTGGCCGGCATGACTAAACACCAAGGCGCACGGAACGCTGTTACCTTCCCACCGAAGTGGTACCTATTTATCTACTTGCAATGTCTTGCTTTCGAACTGCTAGGAGCTGGAACTAGAGACGGGAGCTCACTCCGTCATGCGGCACCCGGGTCTCGAACTGCTGAACTACCGACCTTCCACAGCCTGCAGTTCAGCGTCTTAACCACTTGAGCCACCGCAACCCTACCTTGGTAGAATACATCAGAACCAGCAAAGTGCAGTCAATAGACCTCCTGTTCTGGACCAAAGAGATCCAGTTTGGTTCAGTGGTTAAGAGCGGCAGACTCTACTCTGAAAAACCGGGTTCACTTCCCCACTTCCCCACTTGAAACTAGCTGGGTTACCTTAGGCGGGTGACAGCACTCTCAGCCTAAAAGTAAGCATAGCTGGCCACTTGAGTGGTGCCAAAAAAACAGCTACAGCTTCAGCAGCCAAACAATCCCCTCAGGGATCTCCTGGCTATTCCGCACACAATGCCACAAGATAATTTCATTTTTTACCAAGGAGATCCAGATCAAAATCCCAGCTTAATCATAAGGCTTACCAGGTGACCCTGGGCCAGACCCCTCTCTGCATAGCCTAACTCACGGGGTTGCTATGAGCAGGGGTCATTTCCTGCAGGAGCGCACAGGAGCGGAGCACACAATGCCACAAGATAATTTCATTTTTTTTACCAAGGAGATCCAGATCAAAATCCCAGCTTAATCATAAAGCTTACCAGGTGACCCAGGGCCAGACCCCTCTCTGCATAGCCTACCTCACGGGGTTGCTATGAGGGTTAAAAAGGATGGCACTGGAAGGAAATAAAACAAGCCTCATAAATGCATCACAATTTCTACCTTCTTTGAGTACATCAAAAGAGCAGTCCCAGAGCCATCTGTTGCTGCCATCGAATGAAAGAAACAACAATCCATTGAAAAGAAACGCATGATGAAGCTGCGCGAGGGCAAACTGCAACATTCCCCGAGGGTTTATTGAGGTTGAGACAGTCGCACCAAGAGCCAACAGACAGATCCAAAGCTCCTTTTCAACACATCCGAAATGGAATGATTTTACCTCTGCTGACTCCCGTTTCCAGGCAGCTGTGCCTGCACTTTCTTACACCTACAGCTATTTTTCACAGAACCTTGGCCTGAGTTGAAGACACTGACTAAATTGTCTCTGTCAGGTGCAAAATTCTACCAAGACCACAAAAAGAAACACAGCAGCCATGAAGTTCAGGCCAAAGTAGCAAATCTTTGTACAGCCTGCATGAAAATAGAGACAATTTTTCTTTTTCAAAAGCCTCCTTTTGTTTTAAGAGCCCACGGACGGTAATTGGGATATATCTATTCCTTCTTCTCACACAACCTGCTTGGATGACTACCAGAGAAACGTCTTCAATGCTCTGGGTGCTAATCATATTGACAAGGATTCGTTTTTCTCCCCTCCCATGTCTGTAGTGGACTGTCAATATGGTAGCCAGATCATAACAGATCCAAAGTAGCAAATCTTTGTACAGCCTGCATGAAAATGGAGGCAATTTTTCTTTTTCAAAAGCCTCCTTTTGTTTTAAGAGCCCACGGACGGTAATTGGGATATATCTATTCCTTCTTCTCACACAGCCTGCTTGGATGACTACCAGAGAAATGCATTCAATGCTCTGGGTGCAAATCATATTGACACGGATTCGTTTTTCTCCTCTCCCATGTCTGTACTGGACTGTCAATATGGTAGCCAGATCAAAACAGAGCAGGGATCCCCAACCTTTTTGAGACTATGGGCACAACTGAAATTCTGACGTGGCATGGTGGGCAACACCACAAAATTAGCTGTCACAAAATGGCTCCCACAGGAGGCAGAGCCAGCCACATCTATCATGGCTGGCACCCCATCCTTTATTCCATCTTTTCCCTTCAGCCTCCTACCAGTCCTGCATGTGAGGTGGCAACACAGTCCGGAACTGGCTTAAAATTCAATTCATGGATGCCATCTGGGGGATTGTTTTCATGACAGTACTGAATGTTTTATATTGTATTTTATTTACTGTTGTACACTGCTTAGTGCCCTGTGAATGCGGGGACCAGGCGATTCACAAATTTAATAAACAAATAAAAATAAATAAAATATTTCCCACAGCTTAATGTCAGTAACACAGTGCAAATCCTTGTGCTGTGGTGACAGCTGCTGTCAAGGCAACACTTTTAAATAATCGGCACAACCAATCAAATTTCCAATTGTCAATGGGAAGGCTTGGGGACCCACATTAGGGACCCCTGTAATAGATACTTGGGGTCCCCACAGTTGACTGAGCCCCCAAATATGAAAGTAATGTCAATGGAATGAGCCTAACATAATTATTTCTAGTACCCTGTTGTTGTCACGAACTGAGGGAAAGCCAAGAGGGATTAAAATTAGTAGTAGCAGCCACTTACATGTTGAAGAGGTTTAACCCAATCCGGTACAGCCGTTTCCTCATGGTATCTGTGGAAAGAGTAGGAGATTTGCAGCTGGCTGGGTTCTCACAGTGGTACCGTGGAAGGCTGAGGATCATGGCCTGCAGGGCTTCCTTTGAGGACAACTCAGAGGCAGACTTGGCTGAGGTGGAGGTGCTGCTACTGCTGAGCTGCTCTGAATTGTCTACGTTCTCGGCCTCCGAGCCCTTGCTCTGCCCTGTCTCGTTGCTCGAGTCAAACGGGAGCTTCTGCATCATCATTTGCTCCGTCTCCGTCTCCCCTCCCCCCAAGCCGTTGGTGTTGACATTCACCTCAGCTACGGTATGACTGTTCTGGAGGACTGCAGATTCAGGCTGCCTTTCTGGGGCAGCTGGAGGCTCTTTGCCCTTCGTCCCTCCTTCCTCTGGGATTTCTTCGATTTTGGCAGATTGAGAAATCCCAGCCTGGGTGTTGTTAGTGAGGCAATTTGCCATAGACACCGAGGTAGATGAGGAGACGGAGATGTTCTTGTTATCGATCTGGACAGTGACATCACGGAAGGCCATCATAAGGGTGCTGCTGCTCTTGGGCAGTGTATCTGGCAGCAACCCTTCCTCCTTCTGTTGTTCCTTCAGTTCAGCTTCCAAGTCTTGGTTTGGCTGCACTGCGCTAGTACTAAACGTTTCTCTTATCTGGTAGGAGCTGCCATCTTGAAGGGAACACATCGTCTTCAGGCTCCATGTGCTGAGGGCATCGTCGATAGATTTGGCCAAAGACTGGACTTGCTCAGTGAAAGAGTCCTCCAGTTCAGTCAGTGCCCCACTGATTGTGGCAGGCAAAGATGGGGATCTCACCAAAGGGATGCCAACAAAGTTGTATCCTTCGACCAGGGCTTTCTCAGCAGAAAAACTTTCAGAGTTCTGGACTCGGACTTTCCTCAGTGAAATTCGCCGAGGCATGCGGCTTTCCAGGAGCGAGTTCCGTATCTTCTCAAAGTTTTTGCTGAGCTGGTACTGGCGGAAGGCCGTCTGGATGGTGCAGGCTGCCCTCCGAGAGACCAGGTGGCCTCCATATTTGTGCTCTAGCATTTCGACCTGGAACACAAAAAACAAGATTTTTTAAATTGATTTCTGAAGAGTTTTCATGACCTCAATTTACAAACAGATTACTTCCTAATGATACTCTCAGGGACTCAATACCGCATTCTTTTTTTTCCCCCTGCACTGCGGTATTTTGAAAACTATGCTCTGCGCACAAATTCAGTAATAAAAGAAAATCCAACCTCTCTTCACCACAGTGCCTTACTTTCTAACCAGGATACGACTATATGAGTCTCAGATTGTTCTGGGACTTTATGTACTCTGTAGTTCCCGCTATTTTAGTCCTTGTAAGCTATTCCATCATAATTATTAAATATATTTTAAACCCAACCTAGCAACTATGCAGGGGGGGGTTGCACAGTATAATTTTAAATACATTAGAAATGTTAAACTAAAAGTATTAAATATTCAAAGTTCAGCCCCTACCAGCACGATGCCAACTAAAGCAAGGTCTTCCCTTGCTTCCAAATATATTTCTCAGACCTGCTTTGCTACAATCTTTTTGAGAAGGTACATATTTTTAAAGGTCCTCCCCACATCAGTGCCATTTTCGCTCTGTCAGCCCACCCCCACCCCCTGTGGCCACCATTTTTACCACTGCACCACTAGCGAGCTTTTTGAGGACTTAACAAAAAGGCTATTGCATTATAGCAAAGTAATGTTATAATGATCTATTGCCATGCTCTATTAGTTCCTCTAAATTCCCAGCTTTCTTTTTTTAAGTAAGTCTCCAGCTCTTTTCATTGTAGAGATAAAAGGGTAAATGTGCAGGCAATTTTTCCCCAAATTCATTGCAAAGGAATAGGAAAAAGTTGCAAGAAAGCTGAAGCAGGGTGGAAACAGATTTCTCATCAAATTGTGTGTATGTTCCATTGCTGTTCCATATGCTTGGGCATTCTCAGAGGCAACGAATGCAATATGGAGAATTGTTGGTGTGTGGATGCAACCTCATTCTGTTGAATTCAGCCCAAGTTAACCACATAACAGCACCTTCAATTAGTGGATGAGACTGCCATTTTTGAGGGTTGATTTGGATTCATCATGGTCTTCGAAAGAGAGATTGATCCTCTCAGGTATTACCAAATTTGACCAATATCTCCCAAATCGCTGTTGTCCCTTACACCATTGTTTATAAGATATAAATAATGTTTCACATACTGATTAACAACAGAAAAGCAATCAACTAGAGAAGGGAAAATATAACGAGAGGGGCTTATTATACCACCACCCCCATCTGAAAAGCTGATATGAATAAGTGACAACAGTCTCATGAGATCAATGCCAAGAGGTGTGAAATTATAAAAGAATCCCAGCTGGGATGCTTTAAGATATGTACACAGCGGGAAACCACTGCAATACTCATCATCATCATCAACAACAACAGGGACCAAACTGGGCTTCTTGAATTGGCAGCTTCTGCTGGACGTAGAACATGGCTCAAGAAGTCCCAGCTTTTATCCCCAGCATCTCCAGTTAAAAAGATCAGGTATTAGAGGATGTGAAAGATATCTACCTGAGGCCCCGGAGAGCTGACAGCAGTCAGAATAGACAACACTGTCCTTAATAGACCAATGGTCTGACTCGTTACAAGCCTTCATGTGTTCATCTGCCTCCAAATCCTGTCCAGTATCTTAGAAGAATCCTTGCCCAAAGTTCCTCTTTCTTATTACATGCTTGTAAAAACTTAGGAAATGGACCAGAGGAGGGTGCTTTCTGCCTTCTTCATAGATCATGCCAGCGCTGACCCTAATGAATGATCACCAGATGACGGTGGTGGTGGTGGTGTTGTTGATGCAGATGATGGATGATCGTGCTGAAGAAAGCTGGGCGGATGAGCACTAATGATCTCCGCAGAGATTTGCGGCTGATGCACTGAGAGAGGGGCAGGTTTCTTCTTTTGCTTGATAAAGGACTTTGTTATTTTAAGCTCCCTTGGAAGCTGGTGTTTGTCAAATTACAATGAAAAAGTGAGGGAGGAGCGGCCAGGCAGCGGAGGTCAGCCTTGCATTAATGAGCATGTTATCCTGAGGACATCGAATGGTTCATGCCGCTCTAGGAGCGTGGGCCCTCAATAACCATTTAAGACATCTTATAGCACGACCCTAAGACTTCCCCAAGCAATGCTTCAGATGGCTTCCTCTGCCATCCCCCCTTCCAGTGATTATTCAGCTCCTTCGTGAGTATATCTAACCACTGAGAAAGGTTTTTCTAAAAATAAAATAAAATTTTATAATGAAAAGTGGCAAACAAATCTTCAGTGCACATCTCCAGGGACAGCTCAGAACGTGCTGAATAAAAAAGGGGGGGAAGGGAAGGAAGAGCATATCAGAAACAGGGGAGATTTCCCTCCCCCGGTGTGACATTGAACACTTCCAGCCAAGACCTATGCAGTTCTGGTTGATCCATCACTGCCGACGGGGTGATGATTTCCTCCCAGGGGAGTACCACCTCAACCAGCCATATTATTTTGTTTGTGTAACATATTATATTCTGACTTCTCACCCTGGACTCAAGGCAGCTAATTACACAAATTGCAAGGGCACGAAACACAAAAACATAGAGCTGGAAGGGATCCTCAGGGTCATCTAGTCCAACCCACTGGACAATGAGGGAATTCACGGCTCCCCTCCCACTCCCCCAGTGACCCCTTCTCTATGCCCAGAGGAAGGCAAAATAAAACTCTAGGATCCCTGGGCCAATCTGACCCCGAAGTAGTGATCAGCATTACCTCGGGCATGTAAGAAAGGGTCACAAAAGCCAAGCACTGGCTCAGCCCTTCCTGGCTTCCCTCTCATGGTCTGCCTAAATTCATAGTGAGTCATCACATGTCCATTGACAAAATAAAAACAGCACATGAAAATATACATCCAAATCTGCCCCCCAAAAGCGTTCACTCTCCACCCTTTGAAATAAGACTGTATTCCATGTTTTCTTAAATGCAGCCAATGGAGATGACCACTCTGGTAGGTCATTCCAGAGGACTAGGCCTATCACATTAAAGGCCATTACCTAACTGTTGCCGTAGGGACAATTCTTAGGGTTGCCATTTGCCAACTTCCAGGTGAGACTGGAGATCTCCCACTGTTGCAACTGATCTCCAGATGAAAGAGATCAGTTCCTCTAGAGAAAATGGCTGCAATGTAGGGTGGACTCTATGGCATTATACGCCATCGAGGTTCTTTCTCGTCCCAAACCTCGCCCTCCTCAGCCTCTACCCCCAAATCTCCAGGTTTTTCCCAAGAAGGAGTTGGTAACCTTAACAGTTCTAAGGGCTCAACTACGTGATACACCGGACACATGTTGGGTCATGGGTGTTCAACCAGACATAGTCAAGACGTGCATTGGGGGAACTCACCCTGAACAGCACTCATTGGCTCAGCTGGTCAAGGGAGCACTGTGACTCAGAAGAAAGAGATTCCAGTTTCCTCCCTGCCCCATTTTCACCTTCCTAGGGAACATGGAGCCAGAGAAAAGAAGCAAAAAGCCCCCCCGCTGCCATTTCTACTTGCATGGGGCAGGAGGGAAAACGTATACTCCTCCTCCTCCTCCCTCACAGTGCTAAGCAAACGACCACTCTTTCAGGTGAGTTCCTCCCAATGTAAGAACATAAGAAGAGCCGTGCTGGAACAGACCAGTGGCCCACCTAGGCCAGCATCCTGTCTCACGCAGTGGCTAACCAGTTGCCCTCGAGTTCTAGTCTTTGGGGAGAGGGAGAAAAATGTCTCTTTGTCAACTCTCCCCACCCCATGCATAACTTTATAAACCACTATCACGTCCCCCCTTTGTCGTCTCTCTTCTGAACTTAAAAGTCCAAGCAGTGGAGTGCCAAGGGGCGTTCCTGGAAGGAGAGAGGCTGTTGGGCGCCAGTCACAGCAGCCACTGCGGCTGCGCAACTCCTGCTGGAGGCAGGGGGAAGACGTGTGTGTGTGTGGTGGGCTGCTCCTGCCTCCAGGCTCTGCTCCAGCTGCAGCTTGAGGTTGGGTTGCCAAGTCGTTTATACTCACCGGTGGGGGATTGTCCCAGGGAGGCTGTTGGGCGCCAGTCATGGCAGCCACTGCGGCTGCGCGACTCCTGCTGGAGGCAGGGGGAAGACGCGTGTGTGTGTGGTGGGCTGCTCCTGCCTCCAGGCTCTGCTCCAGATGCAGCTTGAGGGCAAGCGCCTATTGCACATTGGCCCTGTGGTAGATCTCAGCTCCACCTCCAGCATGCCCACAGAGCTTTGCACTGTGAGCACGCCAGATGTGGAGCTGAGGGCTGCTGCGGGGCCAGCATGCACATCATACGAAGAGCTGACTGTGGGCATGCTACAGTCAGGCCAAAGAAGTGACTAAAAGTGAGCAGGTCAAGACCAGGAGGGCTTTTTCATGCACACTATTTGCTGCTCGGACATCTTCTCCTCATGCGCATGCAGCTGGGCACGGTGGCCTTCAGCACCTTCTGGCTCCTAACGGCTTTGAACCAGAAGAGAGCAAGCACCCCTCTTACCCAAAGTCTGCAAAAAACTGCATTTTGCCTGCCATCTCCTTTTAGTTTGGGGCCCATTTACAAGTACTGAATCTACATAGACCCTGTCGATGGGGGAGGGATCCTCCAAACAGTTGTGAACGTAACTTTTTATTAACACCTCTCAAATATCACAAAATATTATTTGCCTTTGAAATAGGAGCCCCATTCATTAGAGCCTTCCTACTGATAGTAGGTAGTGTGTTTCTTAACATCCAGGCTGAACATACGAGAAGCCATGTCGGATGAGGCCAGTGGCCTATCCAGTCCAACACTCTATGTCACACAGTGGCCAAAAACCAGGTGCCATCAGGAGGTCCACCAGCTGGACCAGAACTCCAGAGCCCTCCCACTGTTGCCCCCAAAGAACCAAGAACCAGACATAGGCCCATTATGCACTGGTGTTTTGCCTTACTTTCACCATGCATGTCCGTCAGGTTTCCTTTTTTGTTCTGCATTGTTTTTCCTCCCCTCAGAGCCCAGTT